GTCCAAATTTTCTTGTGCGCGAACGAAATGCGAAGCCATCGCAACCGGAGTGTTCGCACCGTTCGTATTGCAAGAGCTCCAGAAAGACTTAAATGACTGCCATTTCTTCGCTATATTGACGGACGCCTCTAATCATGGCAGCACAAAAATATTTCCGATATTTGTTCGCTTGTTTTCGGAAAAGGATGGCGTCAAAGTGAAAATTATAGACTTGGTATATGCAGATTGAGAAAGTTCCGAAATAATTGTACATTTGCTGAATAGCTCTGTGAACAAATTGAACATAAATAAGAAACTAGTCGCGTTTTGTGGAGATAACGCGGCGTGTAATTTTGGCAACGTTAATCGAACCGGCTGAAATAATGTGTTCTACAAACTGAAGTAGCTTTATCCTGGATTGATTGGCGTTGGATGTGCAGCGCATATTGTTCACAACACTTTAAAAAAAGCTTGCGACAAAATGCCTTTTGATGTGGAGATGATTGTAGTCAAAACTTATTCACATTTCTATTTGTTCACCGTGCGTGTCGTAAAATTGAAAAAATTTTGTGAATCCGTAGAGGTGAAATATAAAAAACTGATAGGTTACAGCAAAACTCGTTTCATAGGCTTGTTGTCATCAGTCGACTCAATATTAAGAATTTTTGATGGTCTTAAGGAGTATTTTTTGGGAGGTCCCAACACCCCAAATTCTTTGCTACTATTTTTTGAAGATCCAAGGGCCAAGATGTGGCTGATTTCCTTCGTGATCAAGTAAGTATCGGTTAATGGGAATGAAATGTGTCAGGCACCAATAACTTCCTTTTTAATTTCTTATGTAGGCATCTATTTTCAACAGAACAGTTAAAGCAGTGGAAAGCGACAATATTAATGCAATGGAAGTTGTGCATGCACTCAATTCTTTTGTACAATCGCTCGAATCTCGGAAAAAAGAAGCATTTTTGTCCGCTACAGTGCAAAAGGAAATGGAACATATTTCTGCTGTTGATGAAAGAGTGTCAAAAGAAGAGATGCAAGGTCTCTCACGTCAATTCTATCGTTCGAATGCTAATTTAGATTTATTTTAAATTTAAAAGATTTTATTCATTTCTTTCTTACCGTGCGATTCTGTACTGTGATACAGTATCAAGTCTCTAAATTTGACAGAGACAATTTTTGAGACTTGAGACGATTTTGCTATTCTGTAAGTGACAGTCACTAAAAATTTGCGAGTCTCTCATCTGAAAACGAACAGGTCTGACCATCTGTCACATTTCATTATTTAGAGATGTATATAAAACCTGAATGAAAAAAGACTGTCGATAACATATATTAAATTATCTTTAACGCAGTAAAAAAAGATTAATTACCAATAAAAATAAAAATAAAATGTTGTATTTGAAATAATATAGAGCTAAAATTTATGTGAAATTGATTTGGTTTTACTTTTACCTGATTGAGTTTTGTATAAAACATAAATACAAACAATCGATTATTATCTGTGATGATCTCTATAAGTCAATTGTCAATACATTCAAAATGGAAAACAAAGGTAAGTAAACGTTAAATTAAATTTGCTGTTATATTCTTTTACTTGTATATAATTAATACATTTCCAGAATCATTACGCACAACAAAAGAGCAAATTGAATGCTACTTAGCATTTCTAAAGCTTCACCCTGAAATGAAGCTCCACAAAAACGATCCCACGCGACCCAAAAGGTTAGAAGAACTGTGGATCGAGCTTGCTCAGCAGTTAAACGCCTTTTAAATGGAAGGAGGTAAATATTTACATATACACTTATATTTATATATATGTTTCATAATTGTTTGCTTTGACAAACTTATGAAAATGAAGAAAGGTAAGTATATTTTAATAGCAATAAATATAAAACTATTATTAATTTCTTTCAATTAGAAATGCAAACAGGAGGAATTTGGCGCACTTAAGGAATAGTGAGGATCCATTTTTATTTGAGGAAGGAATATTTAGAAAATATTTTCGTTTTCCGAAATCGTTGTGTTGGGACCTTATGCAGGATTTGAAACCTCACGATAATCGTTTCCGAAAGTCTGCTATTCCGTTTGAGATTCGGGTGACTGTTCATGCATTTAAATTAAAATCGTTTACTAAACATTGGGGTACTATTTCTAGTTCGTTTCAGTGTTATATTTTTTTTCTAATGGCTCATACCAATACTGCATTGGAAATAGCCATTTATCTGCCATGAGTCAACCTAGCATACCCCGAAGTATAAGGCATATATGCAAACTTGTGTTGGAACACAAAAATGTGGAAATAAGCTTCCCAAATGCAACAGAGCACTACAACACAATTAAAATGGGGTAAAGTATATATATGTGAGTTAAATTAAAACAAGCATATTAAAACATAAAAATATTTCTAGTTTCCACAATAAGTTTGGAATAAAAGGAGTGATTGGTGCTATTGACTGCACCCATGTTGCAATAATTGGACCATCTTCATCGTCTAACGTTATTCCACATGAATTCATGAACCGAAAGGGTTACTACAGTATTAACGTAGAAGCGGTAGTTTAAAATATTCATTTAATGTAATTAATATATATACATATATATATATGAATTTTAGATTTGTGACGACAAACTAATTTTTCGCCATTTAGATGCTCGTTTTCCTGGCTCATGCCATGACTCTGGAATTTGGAGAACATCGCCGGCCAGAATAAAATTATTAAGGGAACATGTTTCTGGTTCATTTAAGTGGCTTCTAGGTGACTCAGGATATCCACTAGAACCATGSCTTTTGACTCCTATATCAAACCCATCTGCTCCAAATGAAGTTCTTTATAACAGAATCCATATAAAGGCCAGGAACATAATTGAAAGAGCCTTTGGTGTTTTGAAGT